GGTGTCTATACAATAATGATGAAAATTAAAGATTTTCTCATAATAATTGTGTATTATAAATATAGAAAATATTTTATCTATTGTTTCAGGCTTTCCAGAGAAACATAAATCTTCTCATGGGTTAAAAATTAAGAAAAACCCTCTAATTTGGTCTAAAACATATTTTAAGGACAAAAAGGAGCAATTAGACAAGAAAAAAATACAGTTAATCACTGTTAATTTTAATATCTTTTTCTTTAATGACATTTGTCAATTCATCTTTAAAGACTCTCTCCTTATTTCTCATTATTATTAGAACAAACATTGCCTATACTATCTTTCCCTGACAGTCTTATTCCTGTTGATATCCTACAAATGTTCTAATCATAGTGGTCTTTTCCAAACCTGCTTGACTACTGGTCAATCAAAACCCCATTTCTCTGGATCCTCCACCACTCCTGCTATTCTAAAATAATGTTGACTCTTGTATTATTACTTACTATATATTGTATTCTTCCTGTATCAACATCTGCAAACATACTTTTGCTCACCCTTTTTGTGAATTTAATTTACATGTATACTTTAATTATTTTATAGAAAATCCTAATGCAAATGATACAAAATTACTTTATGTAATAAAAATAGATATAAAATCTGAATTATTCTGATGATTATTTAAAAATAAGATAAAATATTTCTACTATTAGATTCATAGATTTCTAATAAACTTCAACAGCTTAGATTTTTTTACAGGACATAATTTGATCTCGAGATATCCAATATGTGCACACACACATTGCAATTAAGAAAGCAGCATGAAGAGATATCGTTAGCTGTTAGTGTCATGAGTGACTAATATAAAGCTAATTGATATATGAGTTACCCAATTATATTTCAGGTTATTGCCTGACGGCCTAATGATGATCCCCAGCTTCCATCAGGTGACAGTTTTAATATCTGCTGGTGATGCTCATTTTATTTGAAGCAGCTGCTTGATTCTTTATGCTTAGAGGAAGGATTTCAAAAAAGTAAAACTCCACAAGGTCTTTGGAAGAAAGAAGAAAAATAGAACAGCCAGAGAAAGTAAATTCTATTTGTAGAAATTTGTTTATCATAGCTAAGTCATAAGAATCCATGATTCTGCTTCATTTATCCAAGCACTTGTATCTTTTTCTTGTTTATACACTTTCCCCCCTCAATTTTATACTAAATGCCACTCTTCCTCCCATTCAAAATGTCTTCCATATACTGAAATGTCTTCCATTTAGGTGAAGGATTTTTTTGAGAACCCATGGGAATTTTATGGATGAATATTGTTAGTCTTTTTTCTGGATTGGAGTTTAGAGGCAAATAGTGGAACTGATTTAGACTGTATGATTTCCCAATGGCAAGACAGCTGTGTTTCCTTCATGGCTGACTTGCATGCAAATATTTCCATGAAACACGTATGAAAGATGATTGATTTAGTCAGTAGATGCCACCTAACTTAGGAAAATAAGTAACTTTGTGTTCCACTGTTTAATTTACATATAAATGTTTCTCCAAAGTTCATAATATTTAGGACCCTATTTAATGAATATATTTGTTTAGAGCCATCTTGTGGTCTAAGACAATAAGATGAAGAGTATTTTCATAACATGATTAAAGCAATAGTATGGCAACTTGGTGCCATAATGTTTCATTCAGAAGAATAGCTAGACTAACTTAAAAGAAAAGCATTGAAAAAAAATTCTAGAATCTTTACACATCCTTGGTTTTATTTGTTCAGCTTTTACTCCTTTTCTATCTTTTGTGAAAGTAATAAACTCAACAAATAGCAAATATATCTCCATCCAACCTCAACTCAACTTTCTTATTTACCCTGCAGTCTTTCTTTTATTCTGGAAATATTACTCTACAGTTGCTTTATAGTCTTAACATTCTCAGGTTACTGTAAGTGAAATTTTTTTTGTTGTAGTCATTTCAAAGTTTCTAGTATTTTTTCCCAAACTGTGCAGCCTCCTCAATTTCATCCCTCCTTAATTTTTCTGTGAAATCGGACAATATGAATAACCATAGTTGACCCATCCTCCACCTTTCTCCCAGAATTATATTTCTAACAGCTTTGGACATTTCCCCCCAAATATCACATAATTCTACTCAACCTCATATGCTCAAAACAGATTTTAGTATCTTCCCCAGTGAAATTTTATTTTCCCATTCTACCATATGTATTTAATTAGGCATCTACTCGGTAACACACTTCCTTCCACCAGACACACCTCTTCCTGCAATGTTTCTGTTACTGATCCATCAGGTGCCATCTGTTTACCTCTGAAATGGCTGCTCTGTTTCCTTCTCTCTTTTCTTTTCAATGTTTGAGCGTTGAAGACCTATATAACTGAAAAGGTATCTTGACATCATTTTAATTAGTTTGCATATTTTTCCCCACAGAATTCTCCTTCTGTGGCTCAATGAGATGCTTCTTCCCTAAAATATTGTTTAAAATCTTCTTTCCAATAGTTGGTATCTCTCCTGGGCGGATGACATAAAGTACAAAACATTTCAGCACATTAATCACAGCCCTTCAAGACCACTAGTAATCGCTGTCCAGCCACATTTTAAAATTTTCTCCTTGGCACCCTGTAATCAAGTAGCTGGCACTGCACACTGGAGAAGTTGTGCAGTTCCATATGCCTTTCATTTATACTGCTTCTTCTCCCTGAAATGTCCTCTACTTTCCTAGTACTTTCCACCTGGTAAATGTCACCTCTTCCAGATCCATATCTATTTTTTACATCCAGCTCAGAAACCTTCTTTTTTGAACATTTTCTTGTTCCATTCTGCCTTTCTCTGTTCTTGAAAAGAGGGAAGAATAGACACCCACACACACTTTCTATACCACCATTATACATACTTTTAGTAAAACAATAATTCAATTATTTTTTCAGCTCATATTTATTGAATGCTTGTTATATGCTAGAAGTAGAAATATTCTAGTCTATTCTAGTCTAATGACTTGCTCTTGGAAAATTGCATTGCCATTTTAAAAAAAATTTAAACATTTTATTGATATTTTACAGAGAGGAAGGGAGAGGGAGAGAGAGAAACATCAATGAGAGAAAATCATCCATCAGCTGCCTCCTGCAAAGACTTCTACTGGGGATGTGCCTGCAACCAAGGTACATATCCTTGACCGGAATCAAACCCGGGATTCTTGAGTCCACAGGCCAATGCTCTATCCACTGAGCCAAATCTGTTAGGGCTGTATTGTCATTTTTAATTTCTGCTTAATCTTATTACTAAATTGTTATTATCTTTAGGCTATTTGGGTTTGATTGTATAACATATGGCAGGATTTGACTATAAGGAATCTATACATATTCTCATCAATTAATAAATATAATATTCCTTTTACTTTGCCAATATTTTTACTGTGTCAATAATACTATTTTATTCTGAAATAATTTTGATGAATCTTTTCCCTATAATATTCTTTATTGTATTGAAATTACTTCCTCACAAGGCCCCAAAATACATTCAAAGTAGCATCATTTCCTGCATTATTGATGAAGATACTATGACAAAGAATAGACGTAAAGCTAATAATCATAAAATCTATGTCAAATAAGCTTTCTTTTTCCTTTTACATTTAATTATTAAGGGCATTACCCAATCTAATATTATTTATACTTTATTAAAAAATTATGCCCTAGCTGCTTTGGCTCAGTGGAAAGAGTGTTGGCTTGTGGACCAAAGGGTCCCAGGTTTAATTCCAGCCAAGGGCACATGCACAGGTTGCAGGCTCATCCCTAGTAAGGGGTGTGCAGTAGGCAGTGGATCAATGATTCTCCCTCATCATTGATCTTTCTCTCTTTCTCCTCTCTTTCTCCTCTCTTTCTCCTCTCTCTCTCTCTCTCTCTCTCTCTCTCTCTCTCTCTCTCTCTCTCTCTCTCTCTCTCTCTCTCTCTCTTCTCTCTCTCTCTCTTTCCCTCCTCCCTCCCTCCTTCCTCCTCCCTCCCTCCCTCCTCTCCCTCCCTCCCTCCTTCCCTCCTCTCTCCCTCCTTCCCTCTTTGAAATCAATAAAAAACTAAAAAGAAAAGAAAAAAATTAAATATTTTAGCCTGGCTGTTCTGGCTCAGCTCAGTGGTTGAGCATTGACCTACGAACCAGGAGGTTATGGTTCAATTCCCAGACAGAGAATATGCCCAGATTGAGGGCTTGATACCCAGTGGGGCATGCAGGAGGAAACATATCAATGATTCTCTCCATCATTGATGTTTCTAGCTCTTGCTCCCTTTCCATTCCTCTCTGAAATGAGTAAAAATATATTTTTAAAAATTAAATACTTTAAGAGAGGATTAAAAATTATGTACCTAAGGTTGCAGAATTAAATATAAAAGAAGAAAATGCATATTTATTAAAATATTTAATTTACTTAATGGAAGCACTTTATTTGGGTTAACTAGAATTTCATAAGGAGTAATAATAAACAAGAAACCTTATTTGTGAACCTGTAGTTTTAGGTATCTTACTGTGTGCATTCTGCTTTTTTCTTTAAACTTCCTGTTTTCCGCTTAGGTCGAGACTTGTCTATTTTAAAGACATAATTGAAACTTAAAATAGTCTGTAATGCATTAAATACATGTAAAGTAGTACTTTTCCCCAGAGTTGTGAAATGAAACACTGTTTTTTAAAATTATTTACTCTGTTGATATTTCTAAGACATAGACAAAGATTTATTGTAGCCTGACTGGCATGGCTCAGACGTTGAGCTTTGACCTGTGAACCAGAGGTCACGGTTTGATCCCCAGTCCTGGAACATGCCCAGGATGTGGGCTAGATCCCTGGTCTGGGGTACTCAGGAGACAGCTGATCAATGATTCTCTCTCTTCATTGATGTTTCTATCTCTTTCTCCCTCTCCCTTCTCTCTGAAACCAATGGAAAACATTTTTTTTTTCCAGTGTAAAATTTTTATATTTAGAGTTAGGCAGTTGCCAATTTTGCTGGTAATATCCAAAGCATCATAGTCAGGAGCCAATCAAACATATGCCTTTTTCTCGCCATCAGGCCTGATCAGGTTGTTGACCTTGACCACATCAATGTCATAAAGCTTCTTCACAGCCTGTTTGATCTGGTGCTTGTTGGTCTTGACATCCACAATGAACACAAGTGTATGATTGTCTTCTGTCTTCTTCATGGCTGACTCGGCAGTCAGGGGGAACTTGATGATGGCATAATGGTCAAGCTTGTTTCTCCTGGGTGCGCTCTTCCGAGGATATTTAGGCTGCCTCCGGAGCCTTAGTGTCTTTGGCCTTCGGGAGGTGGGTGACGTGCGGATCTTCTTTTTTTTGTGTGTGTGGCTGTGGACACCTTTTAACACTGGTTTCTTTGCCTTCAAAGCTTTTGCTTTGGCTTCAGCTTTGGGAGGGGCAGGGGCTTCCTTCTTCACTTTCGGCGCCATCTTCGGAAAAAGCTGAAAAACATATTTTTAAAAAATATTTATTTTGAATGAATGATTAAACTTTGTTTTCACAACCTTAATTATATACATTTGATGGGAATAAGAAAAGAAAAAGCAAATATTGGTAGTTGAAATAGAACTTGCAGCTCTATTATTATTTACAGCCAGGAGGTGTTTGAAAATTACTTTGAGGATTCTTTTTCACAGCATTAGAATGTCTCTGCAACAGTGATTCTGCCAGCGACCCTGGTGGTAACTCCGTGAGCTGTTTACCCAGTGAACTGTTTGGTTGCATTGTCAAAATAGCCAACATAGTAATTGCAATTTAATAAAACAGTACAGCCTTTACAACCTCACAGAATGATTATTTGAACCAGAGAAAATAAGGTATTTTGTATAAAACATTGTTATACACTTACCACAATTTATATATTACTGTTTTAATTTGCCTACTCCTTTTTATGTTATTTGTTTTATTCACTTAACAAGTTGTGTGTGTGTGTGTGTGTGTGTGTGTGTGAATAATTATTGCCCTCCCAGTGAGCCAATATTTTATGGCAATTCAGCTGGCAGAATTTGACTTAAAAACAAACTATAATTGTGAAAATGGATTAGTTCTTAAGAAAAAAGAAATAAACTAGAGAAGAAGGATTCTTTTATTTGAAATCTTATTCTTTTTTGTGGAGGAGGATTTCCAGTTTAGAGAGAGAGATCAGTTGTCCCTTGGATTAGTTGCCCCTTGCACACACCCTGACCATGGATCAAACCCACTTAAGTCCTGACTAGGAATCAAACTGGTGAACTTTGTGCCTGCCACAAGGCTCAACCAATTACCAATAGAGCCACACCTATCAGGGTTGCATGCCCATCGCTCTAAAGTACCCTCACCTTATTATTTATTATAAATATAATATGGAGGAGAAAACCCTCATCAAGAACCTAAAGACATATGAGAATGAGAAAAGAATATCACAGTGGAATTATAGATGGGACTTTACTATTGGCAAAGATGTCAATACTGTTAGTGCAATGTTTCCAGTGTGGTGTCATTGAACCAGGGGAGAAGTAAGATAAGATTTAGGATTCCTTGAATAGTGGTTTGAACAATGAAATCATTGGTGCTGTTTTAACTAGTCAAAGTTAATATGCTTTGGAGGACTGAAGAGATGAAAATATTTTTATTCATAATCTATAATAATAAAAGTGTAATATGCTAATTAGAACAAATGTGTCCTTATAGATGACCTTTGGAACAAAACCAGAGCTGTGAGGGAAGTCCAGGTCCCAGGTGCCAGAAGGAAGCTGGTGCCAACAGCATGGGGAAGGAAGGCTTCTCTTGCAAGGATTTCGTGCATTGGGACTCTAGTAAATAATAATACCCTTAATTTTTTGAATGTTACTGTTAACAATTTACATATAATATTATATAATTTTTACAATACAGCCATGAAGTTTATACTATTAGTATTGTTTTATACATGAGAAACTGACTTAAGAATATAATTTTTACTAAAGCCATACAAATTTCACAATAGGTCAAGTTCCAAATATGTTTTCATTATTTCAGTTTCTTTGCTTATCACAATAAATACTTAATGAATTTATATATTTCTCAGAGAATGATAGTTCTTACTTAAGCCTGTGGTAGATAGGTAGATAACGAAACAAGGAATGAGAGCAAACTATGATTAGTATCACAAGAACAGAAATATTGAAAACCACATTGGATCATATTTCCCAGAAGATTTGACTTTTAAATTGAGACATACGGTAGATTTGCTCAAAGAAATGGGTGGGGAGAGAAGACTAATCTAAGCAGAAGGTAGAGATCTGTCAAGGCACCGAGACAAGACAATGAATTTTGTAGTAAAAGAGCAAAAATAAGTTAATTTGCATTAGATCCCTGATATTTGGAGGTGAGTGGGGAATAGTGGACCTAGCTGCAATCCTGAAGATTCCTTACAATATGTAAATACAACTAAGGTTGGACATTTATGGTAATTCTAAGTGTTTTGTCTTTTTTAATTTGCTTAATCCTCACCTGAGGTTATTTTCCATTGATTTTTTTAGAGAGAGTGGAAAAGAAGGGGAGATACGGAGAGAGAAACATCAATGTGAGGGAGACACATCAATTGTTTGGGAACCAAGCCTGCAACTGAGCATGTAACTGAGGCACATGCCCTTAACTGAATTGAACCTGGGACCTTTCAGTCCACAGGTCAGTGCACTATCCAGTGAGCCAAACCAGTTAGGGAAGTTCTTAAAGAATTTAAGCAGGGTTTTAAATAGATAAGTTGCAGTCTAAGAGTGAATCATACTGTGGAGAATGAGTCAGAAGAAAATAAAACTTAATGCAGAGAAGATTGCTGTGGGGCCCCAGGCAAGAAGGGGTCCTGGCTTGAATTTTGGATGTTTCAGTAGGAATGGAAGAAAATATGAGATTTTATTGTTATGTTTGAAGTAGAAAATAAAATTACCATAATTTAATGATCCATTGTATGTATAAGTTGATTGAGAAGCAAAAGTTTAGAAACAGTGCTGTGTGTTTAAAGAAAGTATAATGTTTATTGACATAGACTCTACCTAGAAAAGTCTATATACTTTTTAAAATTCAATAATTATTGTCTATCAGTAGTAAACTTCAAAATATTTGCTTTTTAACTTTTTTGATTATTCTTTATTTTCTCATACTTTAATTAAATGTAACTTATGCAATTTAAATATCACCACAACTTGAACTACAGAAAAAAAACAATATTCTAATTCATAGTCTGATAACATGACTTCATGTGTATTTTGTTAAATTAAATAATACTGTTCTAAATAATTTCTTAATTGTGGAAAAAAAGAACATGCATTGGTATAATGTAAGAAAATGTATGCATTTATATCTCTTCCTGAAAATATTATGAGGCTTAATTTATATTTCCTTAGCTACCTTTTCTAATTTTCTATCAACATTCAAATGTTACATTAGATCTTTTCTTTTGATCAACAATAATTACTTCTATGAAGATTGGTTTAAATTTTCATGACATGTATCTACTGTAGAGAAGTACTTAATTATCTGTGTCACTTATAGTTATGTTTAGGAAACCCTTTGAACTTTTAGTCATATTTTACAAATAACACAAGCCCACTATTGTCCTCTATGATGTTAAGTAATGATGATGCTCTTCTCATATGATAGTTTTGGAGTTAGACATCTGCCTACAAAAGGATAGCCACTTTATGAAAACAACTATCTCACAATTCTTCTTCACCACCCTAGAGTATTTTCATGTATTTTAAATACTTGTTTGATCATGGATATAAAATGAAAGGAGCTAGAAAGTTCTTGTACTTCATGCCTTTGATTATGGAGAATATTAAGGAAGAAAATTCTTGACAATATCATGAAAGGTGTGTGTCTATAATGCTTCCAACCTCCTTTGTTCTGCATCCAACCTTTTCATCTGGGGTATACCTTCATGATTGCCACGTGTCCATAAATGATTTCCTTTTATCTTTATCTGCAAGGTGGTAAGTACATAATAAGCAAAGTTTCCGTTCTTTCAGGGATATCTGCTACCTTTATATATCTGTGAGGAGAACACATGGAATTTCAGGGATCAGCCAGAAGATGGGAAAGACTTGAGAAGAGTGAAGCTTTGAGATCTAGTTTGACAGAATAAGGTGGGCGCAAAATATCAGCAGTTTAAAGTAGAGTGAATACTAACAGTTCATATGAATTCCCAGTAGATTTCTTTTGTACAGTATCTGTAGTGTGCACACATATATTTGTGGGGTGGTTTGGGCTATAATGACTTAAGGTACTGCTGGCATTTAATGCCTATAGGTTAGTGATGCTAAATATACTATTGATGCAAAAATCATTGCTCTTCAAAATGCCAGTAATTCCCAATTTGAGAAAAATTCAATTAGTGGTTATGTGAACAGGTTTTATGTCAGTCAGATGAGTGTTTGTGTAATGATCTTGCCACTTTCTAGTGGGGTGACATTAAGAAAGTCGTTCTACTTTCTAAAGGGTCTGATTTGTAAGATACAAACAGCATATTTTTATTACTATTAAATGCAATACCCAAATTGTTTAATTTAGCATGTGACATACAGTGAACATCCAGTAACTGCTACAATTTGTGGTATCATTTTATAATCTCCCACAAAAAGGTATTTTTAAAAATCTAGCAACTTAAGGAAGAGTAAGAAGTCTTACTGAATGGTTAGGAAGAGCATATTAAAATATTAACAATGTTCAAGTCTAACAATGTGAATGTTAAGACTATATTCTAGGCAATCTTTGAAACATAAACTAAACCTCAGCTACCTGAACAACTTGGTGTTCCATTTATATGCCACGGTTTCCCTATGTGATCTTCCCTTTGTTTCTCTTGCCATCCCCTACTAGTCAGCTGAGCAATCTTGTGTTCTTTTATTAAAATGATTTAAAAAACACATTTTCTGGGAAGCTTCCCGGATACCTTTATCAGTTACTTATGATTGGTAGTGATATCATTCAACATACCATGGCTAAGTAAAAAGGATAGTTGTTGCATAAAGTAACACAATGTCTAGAGGTTAGTGGGATGGGTCAGGGTCACCTCTGAGTAACCCACAATATCACCCCAAAACGTGGTGCTGGGCATCCTATCATGTTGCCATCCTCACTGTGTTGGCCTTCATACTCAGGCTTATTTATCCTCGTGCTCTCGAAATGTCTGTGACTGCTTCAGGCCTCAACTGCTCATAACCTAAAGCAAGGCAGGGGAGCATGCTCCTCCTGTCAAGTATCCTGTTGTTAAAAAAAAATCCTTTCCCAAGAGAGACCTAGCCGTCTCCATTCCTCATTTGTCATTAGTCAGTGTTAGGGTCCATGTCCTCGCTGCAGACAGACCTGGAAAGCAGGCATAGGGCTTTTTCTGCCTCTAGAGTGGTAAGTGGGATTTCCCAAAAAAGGTAACAATACCTGTTGGATGGGTAACTGTTTTCTGCCCGCTCTGTCCCCA